TGCTGCTGCCGCTGCTGCCGCGCCCGTCGCTCTCGGAGCCGAGAGAAGCGGGAGGTGGCTCTGCAGCGCTGGGTTACAGCTCCGTGTCACCATTTTGCTTTCGCTTCGTGAATTTCCGTAACGAGGGCTTCTGGAAGAAACGTCAGTCGGCATCTGCCCGACGGTGCCCTGGAAGCCGCACGTAAACATGGCCGGGTTTGCTTTCCTAAGGAGAGCTGGTGACCGGTGGGGTGGATGTGGCATGCTGAGCTGTTTGAAATCCCCCCAAGCGTTGCCTTTTAAAAGCAAAATGCTTCAGAGCCTGTAAGTAATATTTCGAACTTGAGACTACGTTGTATTTGGTTTTCCTGTAACGCTGGAGTTTGATTTCTGTTAGGAGAGATCAAGAGACTGACTAAATATCACATCTTTCTTTCCTGTTGCTAAGAGCCTGGCTATTAGGAGGCCGCTGCCAGAATACTTCCTAGTGATTCAGTGGGAGCAGGAGCACGCTCCGTATTAGCAAAGTGGTAGAGAAGGGACACTTTGAACCGAGTCTATGGACTAGCTACTTACAGAGTTCAAAAGGGATGTGACTAGGCGCATCGTAAGGGGGAAAAACGCTGTTCAGTTACTGCCTTAGCTGAAAGCTAGTTGGCCATGCAAATGTAGTCTAGAGCGTCTCCAAATTATTGCAGGAGCGGCCTGACGTAGTGAAACCCTCCTTACAGCAAGTAATAAGTCATCCAGGTCAGTCAGTGATCTGTATTTGTAGATCCAAAAGGATCTTACAGGATCGCCTTATTTTGTTTAAATGCTATCTGCATAATCTCAAGTTTTCTTAATGTGTATTCTCACAAAAGTTGAGACTTAGCGGTTATATTGGGGGTTGTAGTATGGGGTTTGTAGAAGCAGATTCTTTTTTAGTCTGTATGCTTTGCTCTGACAAACAAAATGAGAGGATGGACTTTTGAACTGATACCATTTTTAGACCTTAGGGAAGTACAGAATGTAACTGCCAGTCAACAGGAATTACTTAATTTTGTTTTCAAGCCAGTGGAGAGCTCGCAGTGCAGGCTTTAGTAAGATATTTACTAAATTGGGAAGCCGTTTCTCAGTTAAGAAGTAAATCTTTCTTGATCAG